TAAAGTCAAATATGATAGACAGTCTGTTTTGCCAAGCATAAGTTTAATTGCTAGCATTGTAAAAAAGCAGCAAACAACAACTAGTCAGCAACTAGTTCCTTGTGAAAAAGAAGTGTGCTTGCTTTTATTGAATGTGCACTTGCAATACTATAAAATCTATTTATAGAATTATACTTTATTTTATATTACTTTTTTAAATGTACTTAATTGTGTTATAAAAAACAAAGTCATGGATTTGTACTTTAAGTATACTTAAATTGCCTTTTATTTCATTTATATTATCTGCAAATACAGTTTTTAAATATACTTTATTTTTAAAAATTAAAAAAACTATTTTATATTTTTCACAATAGCTGCTAAGCTAAACTGCATGAAATAAGAACATGATGCTCATGTTCTGCTTTAGACTGCTCAGCCTACACATTTTGCTCATCACTAATTAGCATTTACTTATTTAGTCTTTGATGGGCTGTATATATGAAATATGCTTAAAGTTACCATGAATTTCTTCCCTTGATCTGCTGTAGGCTTTGACTGACTCATCATGCTAATCACACACGCTGATGTGCAAGTGTTGACTGGTATGAAGAACAGGGAAGTGCTATACGTACCCTGTTGAAAAAAACAGCATATGCTGGTTAGATATGTTTTGATGCTGGTTTAAGCTGGTCCTTTACTGGTTTATGCTGGTCCTTTGCTGGTTTATGCTGGTCCTTTTGCTGGTTTATGCTGGTCCTTTGCCAGCACATGACCAGCATAAACCAGCAAAAGGACCAGCATAAACCAGCAAAGGACCAGCTTAAACCAGCATCCCAGCGTCAAAACATACCTAACCAGCATATGCTGGTTTTTTCAACAGGGTATGGACTGATGCACTAATAATTTCACCAAGCTTAGCTATTAGCAATATTACTGACATATTAATACTTACTTATCATTTAGCTAGTACTTTTACAAATAGGTGACTTATATTACACGTAGAAACAGCCTAGAACAACATGGCATTACGGGACAATACTGATAAAAATGCTAATGAAATGACCAGTGCTAATCTTCAACTGTTACCCCAGTAGATGGCGACAAACGTCTTTTTGAGTGAGTGATCTGAATAATTAATTCAAGCGATTCATTCAAAACACTGATTCGTTCAGCTGAATCATTCACTCAACCAATTTGTTCAAGACACTGATTCATTCAGGAGCCCTGCTGTGTGTTTTGCTGTGGATATGTTGGCAAATATTTTTGCTGGTGGAGTAAAAATAGACAAAATAAGTGGCAATATTTGGTATAAAATGTAAGTTGTATAATATTAACTTCTTATTTGTTGAACCGTTGTATGAAAGCAGTATCATAATCGTGTTTATGCACCGCAGGTGTGATTCAGATATATTGCTAGTGTGATATTGCTTAAGTATAATTTGATCGCATACGATATTAGTTTATAGCTAATAACGAATAGAACAGGCCAAGAGAGCTGGCCTGAGGTGTGTGTCTGTGTGTGTGTGTGTGTACTGTATGTGTATGTTTCTAATAGTGCAAAGACAGTGTAGAAAAAGTGGTGGAAAGAATAGCTCTGAGAAAACTACAAGCATCAGCTATCTGCTCTTGCCTCTGCAACATCGCAGAACCAGAGACATGAAATGGACAGCAGGGCAGAATCTGCAGACCCCCTCTTCTAGCAAGCTTTGATATCTGTATGATGCCTTATTATAAGTCTAGAGATGCTCCGAGTCCCTTCTGGGGTTGTAACAATAAACCAAATGCTTCTGTTATAAATTTCACCACACAGCATGCAAGATGTCAGAGATTAGGATCTATCTCAATCTGTATCCCAATCTTTTTCTCATTATTGCTTATTACATTGTGAGTCTGCTGGGGTTGTGGGATGGTGTGTGTCAAGAGAGCCAGAAGTAGGAGTTTTTGCGAAGATTATTAGAGAGAAAAGAAACACATACAGTAGGAACCAAGTGCTAAACCAGGATGATTCATGAGTTTTCAAACTATGTGAGACCAAAGATGCCTAAATGAAATACTTGGCTTTAAATCATTAAAGTACAATCTGAAAATGTCTGAAAATATAATATTGCTTTACAACTAATTTTGCATAATGTTCAATGTGTAAACCTTAAAATAAAAACCTAGCTGTCAATAAATAGAAATTAAAGTAAATTAAATTTTATATATATATATATATATATATATATATATATATATAATTTTATGTTTAGCACAATTGACAATCATGAGAATATAAAGTCATAGTTGATCTCATGAAATGTAATTAATTTGATTATTAATGAATACATATAAAGTTCTATATAAATAATCATGAAATTATTCTGTTACAAATGTAACACATATAATTATTAAAATACATTTTAAAAATAAAAGTATGTGGTCACTGACCATCTCAACTTTTCTTCTTTGATCATATGCAATAGCGCTTTGTTATGCATTATTTTAAGGCTGAATTTAACAAATGTTTCTAGCCTCAAAGGCAATAAAAGCATTCAGATCAATTGTGCTTGGTTTGAAAAAGCTAAAAGCTTTTTTTTTTTTAATAAACTATCAATAAACGAAACATTATTTTTTGTGTCCTTGTTTTTTAAACTACCGTAGGCTTTGCGGCGTATTGATTCAGCGTTGACAGATGAAATTACAAGGTGATGAATTGTGTATTTAAAGGTCATAGGGTCGCAGGTCAATAAGCAGGCAAATGCTGTGAAAATTGAAATGTACAACGCTTTGCCAGGAAACATGATTAATTAAACTAATACATCAGATTAAACCGGGCAAGCGAAGAGGCAGGATTCCCTTGGCCATTTAATGAGCATGCTCCCACATATAATTATGTATATCTACTTAAGGCAGGGAAGGTGACAGCATACTAAAGAAATTACAATACGCACTACAATTTAGAAATACACACAATTAAAAACCATGACGTTCATAGGACACAACAGCATCATTCTGAACCTGTGAGATTGCACTGCTTCAGAATTAAGTGATCAAAGGTTCTTCTGATAAAGGATATGCGGCTAAAAGCGGTAGTGTAAAAATAGGCTCAGAACCGGGTTGTTGCTATGGAAGAGTATGTAGAAATCCTGGAATTCCTCACCCACACACACACACACTGATACACAAGGAGTGCTCCATGTTGATGTGCTGCTGTTTTTACTTTACAGTTGCATTTATCCACCCCCTTCCTGTTCTTTTCTATTAGATGGACAGGAAACTTGGAGTAATTGTACTGTACAAAGCACTTGTAGTTAGATGTGAAAAGATGATCTGCAAATATTGTAAGACAAAGCTGTCTTGCAAAAACAGAGCATTTTGAACCAAACATGCTTGTGATGTATATCTGATGATACTGCTACAAAATCGTTCTGAAGTATTACATGCTAATGCGATGAAGTTGATCTTACATGTAATCAAATCCAGTGGGACCAATGTCTGACAAATTGCAAATGGATTATTTTTTTTATTTGATGTTGATTTTCATGAATTTAATGCATAATGAAATTGTATAAATACAAATAATATTTTTTTTTATAAAATGTTAAAACCTAACAGGATTTTTGTGTGTTTATTTGTTTATTTATTTTTAGTTATCTGATGTACAATACAGGTCAAAAGTTTGGGTTATGTAAGATTTTTTTTTTTTTTTTATTTCATTATGTGCTCTCTTATGCACACCAAGGCTGCATAGCTACAGTACAAACATTAATATTGTGAAATATTATTACAATTTAAAATAACTGTTTATTTTATTTTTATCTATTTTAAAATGTAATTTATTCCTGTGATGAAAAACTGAATTTTCAGCATCATTACTCCAGTCTTTAGTGTCACATGATCCTTCATAAATCATTCTAATATTCTGATATGCTGTTCAAGAAACATTTCTTTTTATTATCAATGTTAAAGGGGTCATATGATGCTGCTAAAAAGAACATTATTTGGTGTATTTGGTGTAATGAAATGTGTTTATGCGGTTTAAGGTTTAAAAAACACATTATTTCCCACATACTGTACATTATTGTTTCTCCTCTATGCCCCGCCTTTCTGAAACGCGTTGATT